GTTTGTGCAATGGGACAAGGTTGATTGTTACTCGACTAGGCAATCATCTTATTCAAGCTACGGTGCTTACGGGGAAAAATATTGGACAAGAAGTTGTTATCCCACGGTTGCTGCTTACACCGTCAGATACCAGGATTCCTTTTAAGTTTCAAAGGAAACAATTCCCAATTATGATTTCATATGCAATGACAATTAATAAAAGTCAAGGACAGTCATTATCGCATGTTGGGCTTTTATTGAAGAAGTCGGTATTCAGCCATGGCCAGCTTTACGTAGCGCTTTCACGTGTCACAAATCGCAGAGGTTTAAAGATCTTGATATGCAATGAAGACCCAGCTAAGATGAACCAAACTGCCAACGTAGTTTATAAAGAAGTCTTCCAAAACTTATAATGTAACGTTTCCATTATCAATATCATTGTATACTAAATCATCTCAAATATTTCGTTATATATTCGTATTTTAATTCAATCCTATTGAATTCTAACCTCAATACATTCAGTTATTTTTTAACTTTTATTTTTTGGCCGTGCAACGCACGGGTTCGAGTCTAGTTCATTAAAAAAAGAATGAGCCTTATCTGGGTCTCTTACACTTTTTAAAGAAGTTAAATTGAATTTTAATCATAGATTAGTGACAAAGAGTAAGTTTAAACTTGGTACTAAGACGGTATTGGCACATTCTATTGATTTGATTTACGGAGTAATTGATTTACTCTGCTTAGTTCTAACTAATGGATTCTATATTCTTTCTGTCTAACAAAATATTTTTAGTTTGAAAAATGACAATTTTTAAAAACGTGTAATTTAAGTATTATTTTTTAGTTTTATTCTTACATTATAATCTGATAGAATATGATGCTTGAAGGATAGACAGTTACAAAATAATACTCTCTCCGTCCCTAAAAGATTGTAACAGTTTGACTTTTTGATCAAACTGTTGCACCTTTAGACCATAAATTATTCGGAAAAAATATTTAGTTATAATGTAAATTAAGTAAAATTGGGGTTATTTTAAAATATAGTTTTGAAATATCAAATTTTTATGATATTTAATTATTTTAAATTATATTTAATTTATGGTCAAACGGTGCGTGCATATGATTATTTTACAATATCAAATTTAGCTTTACTAATTTTGTCCTTTTTGTTCAAACATAGCATTAGACCACTTTTTGTTACTTGTGACCACATTTTACTACTCCCTCCGTCCAGAAATGTTTTTCCCGTGTTGACTTGGCACGCTTATTAAGGAATAGTAAAAAAAATGCAAAATTTTCAAAAATGCACATACTATAAACTTTTAAATCTCCTTTTATTATTAAAAAAGTAAATTTGTGATAAAATAGAAGGGTATTATTGATATTTAGCCTTAAAAAGCATACTCCGTACTAAAAAAGGAAATGGGAAGATTATTAACGGACCAAAAAGGAAAACGGGAAGAATATTTCCGGACGGAAGGAGTATTTTTTAGCTTCACCACAAAAACCTACAATGCTATTACCCTTACGTCTCGTCTCCCCGTTTGTAAATAAAATAAAAAAGTTGAAGAACTTGCTTGTGCCGCACGAGCGGTTAGGTGCCGTTCCTGCTGCGAACGCCATGCCTGCTTCTGGCGTGGCGCGCCTCGTTTCTCTTCTAACGCGGCATGTTTGAGCCTCCATTGCAAATGCTCTAAATGAAAGGTAAAAAATTTTCGCAACCCGTGGAGGTATATGCAATTAATAGGTGACCAATCCTCCCAACCAAAAATAACTTTTTTATGTAGTATCAAAATTCTTTATCCGTCCTAAAGTCTTCTTCTCAGTTATTATTTTAATAACTTTCCTTACCTGTTTTCATTAGTTATTTGTTAAAACAATATAATCACGTCAATTCTTGTTTTGTAGAACTTTTGATGTAATTTTTAAATATATAATTTTTATTTTTTAATTTTACACATATAATCAAATAAATTGAATTAAAAAATAATTTCAATCAAAATTCGCAAATCAAACTGGAAAAAAAAGTATTAGAGTGGAGGGAGTAATAAATTATTCCATAGTAAATTAATAGAGTAGCCGAGTAAAAAAAAAGTCGTGGTCTAAAAAAAATTTGCACTAAATAGCACTAAAACTAAAGTCATTTCTCTAAATAGCACTTAAACTAAAGTCATTATGTTTTAGTGCTATTTACGTAAATTCTCCCTTAAAAAATTGTAGTCCTACTCATCCGTCACTGAGAACTACAGTTGTTCAAAACACTCGGCTAATTAAACATTAGACTAGACCAATTAATAGATTAATAGAATCTGAAAGTGAAACATTTATCTTATGATAATTACACTAAGGGTCTGTTTGGTACACGGAATTGATGGAATTAGAATTGAATTGGAATTAAAATTCTATGGGATTCAATTCCATAGAATTGAATTCACCAATTCCAATTCATTTTTTGCACTACCAATTCCAAATTCACATAATTTTTGTACTACCAAATATGAGAATTGGAATTGAAATCATTAATTCCAATTCCATAATTTGAATTCCGTGTACCAAACGGGGCCTAAGTAATGACGTACTTCATAAATAATACGAGTATTTTTCTATGTAATGATTTTTCAATTTAACTATTCGAGTATTCACTGATCTGTATTTGAAATGAATGTTCTAATATTTTTGTGTCTTTGAAAAATATAATTAAACAACACGGTTCTAAAGAAAATGGAACCGGAATGGGCAAGGGATGAACTGTTTTAGTTGGATTCCAAATTTTACACATGCAATTGCGAGTATGGGTTAAGTAGTGATCTATCTATCCAATGTTCTCAATAGAGGCACGTAAGACATCCTGAATTTATTTGCAGCAGATCTTGTGATTTGACACAACAAATATTTGTGCGTCCCACAAGTTTTTGTATGCTTCTCAAATTAACACCCACCCCATCCCAAGATAGGACTTTCAATTTATCTTGACGCAAAGATTAAGAAACGTGAAAATATATTGTTGAAAGTGATACAAAAAAGAGAAAAAATTATAAATTGTTCAAAGTTTTCCATTAAAAAAAAAGAGAAGATGCCTTCTTAGGACACCCCAAAAAGAAAATAAAGATTTTAAAAAAACGGAGGAAGTACTACTACTTCCTCCGTCCCTAAATATTAGTCACACTTGTTTTCCCGAGGTAAAATATCAAGTTTTTTCAATTCATTTTATTTATATATTGGTATAGAAATAAAAAATAAAATTTACACATCAAAAAACTACATGAAAATTTCTTCGAAATAAGAGGTGTCAAGAATATTTTATTTTATCAAATACCCAATGAAAACGTAGAAATAAACAAAAATTCCCGCAACTGCTGAAAAAGTAAATGTTGCAAATATGTAGGGACGGAGGGAATATTAGGCAATAGAATTGTTAGTTTGATATTGTGTTGACATTATTCTTTGATAAACAAATAGATTTACCTAGAATTATTTTAGATATTTTATTTAGATTTAGAGTCCTAACATTTGAAAAAAGAGGAAGAAGAAAGAGCTTGAATCGAGAATTCTAATTCTACTTGATTTACTATTCTTGAGAAAGGAGCCATGGTTGAGACTCCTAAGTACTTTCTAACAAAGTTATTCTATTCCATATATTATCTTCACCTTCGCTTACAGTTTTGGCACTACAAAAAAATCGCGCATTAGGCACGGATAGTGCCGTGCCTTTACCGATGGAGGGTAAAGGCCACATGGCGCAATGCTGTGCAAGGCCGAATATGGCACTCCCTTGTGCGTGCCTATGGTCCGTGCCAAAATCACAACCTTTACGCCGTTTCGTTTCCGTCGGACAACGTTAATTTTTAAAAACTCGCCGGGACGAAGATGTGCCAAATGTCGTGCCTAATTCCAACCACGGATATGCCGTGCCTATTTCCGTGCCTATTGCCGTGCCTATTGAATGCCAATAATTGTTTTCACTTTTGTATATTACGGATAAGTAGATATGGATGGGGTATTTTGAATATTTGAATACTTGTTACCTTATCCCATGTGTATAGCTCTTGACTCCTTCCCAGATGTACTTGGCTCTCCTTGTTTATAGCCTCTTTTAGTTAGTCTTCTGTATGTATAAATCTTGGTCATGTACGCAGCATCAATGTGTGAATAATATCATCAATATTTCATTCTCTACATGGTATCAGAGCTAATTCTTTAAACAGATTTTTTTTTTCATCGCCTCACTCCTCTTTTGCCTAATGACATCTGATTCCAATTCGACGGCTTCATCCAGCCCCATTCGGATGTCTGCGTCAAAGCATTTTCCAATCAAGCTCACCAAGTCCAATTACCTCGTGTGGCGGCGTCAGGTTCAAACCACCCTCGTCGGTTTAGATCTCCTTGGCTACGTTGATGGCACGCTCAAAATGCCACCTCCCTTTCTTGATGCTGCCCACAAGCAGCCAAACCCTGCATATACCTCTTGGTATCGTCAGGATGCGATTATTCTTAGTGCAATTCTTGGAAGTTGCACAGATCTTGTTCAACCGTTGATCTCCCTTGCTGAAACTGCAGCGGATGCCTGGTCTCGGTTGGCTAAAAATCTTGCCAATGCGTCTCGTGGTCGGATTATTTCCCTCAAATCTCAGTTAGCGAAAAATCCCCGCGGCAATCGTACCATTGAGGCTTTTATTTCGGACATGACAACAATTGCGTCCGATCTTGCCTTGGCCGGCAGTCCTGTCTCTGATGAGGATCTCTCTGTTCACATCATGTCTCAACTTGGTGAAGACTATTCTTCCCTCTATCAGTCGCTACGAGGGTGCAATGCTGATGTCTCTATTGATGAACTCACTACTATCTTGAAGGACTGTGAGCGTGAAATCCTTGCTCGCTCTGCCGTCTCGGCAGACTTAGTTCCCACTGCAAATCATGCTCAGCGCATGCGCAACAGTGATCGTGGTGGAGGTTCTACTCGTCATGGTTCTTCTGGTGTTCCTCGGGGTGGTCTACGTGGACGTGGCAACTTCAATCCGAGTCGTGGAGGTCGCTACTGTCAGTTTTGCGACCTGGCAAGCCATGATACCCGATTTTGCAGAAAGCTTCAACGCTTTCTCCGTGACAACAATGTTACTATCGCTCCTTCACGTCCGGATGGTCCTGCGGCTCATGTCACTGTCTCTAATGACTCTACTGGACAGCCGATCCCTCCATGGATTGTGGACAGTGGTGCCTCTCACCATGTCTCTAATGATCCTGCCTCGCTGACTTCCTTGATGGAATACGGTGGACCGGATGAAATTCGTTTGGGTAACGGTAAGACATTAACCATTTCTCACACTGGTCGTTCTACTCTACCCACCCCCTCTCGTCCTCTTACCCTTTCTAACATTTTATGCGTTCCCTCACTTCGCAATAATCTCTTATCTGTGTCTCAATTATGTCAAACTAATCCAGTTTCTGTTGAATTTTTCTCTGATCGTTTTTTTGTTAAGGATGTGCGTACGGGGACGCCTCTACTTCGGGGAGCACTCAGAAATAATCTCTACTATCTCCCTTGTCAGTCTGACCCGTGCGTGAACAATGCCTCTGTTGCGGTCTCCTCTGTGGCTGATCTTCATCATCGTTTGGGTCATCCCAATAATAAAGTCTTACGTACCATTGTTCGTCATTGTCCGTCCTTCTCGAAGTTTTCCAATGTTTCTCAGTTCTCTTGTTCCTCATGTAATATTAATAAAAGTCACAAGTTACCCTTCTCTATTAATACCTTGACTAGTAATGCTCCTTTAGATCTTATTTATACTGATGTTTGGAGCACTACTCAATGTTCCTTGGATGGATATTACTATTATGTCATTTTCGTCGATCACTACACAAAATATATTTGGTGGTATCCTTTGGTGCGTAAGTCCGATGTGTTTTCTATTTTTCCACAATTTAAAAGATTGGTGGAAAATTATTTTCAATGCTCCATTAAAAGTGTTTTCTCTGATAACGGTGGTGAGTTTCGTAAGTTGGTTCCTATGTTCAACTTGCATGGTATTTCTCATTTTACTACTCCACCCCATACTCCTGAGCATAATGGTACGGCCGAGCGTCGTCATCGTCATATTGTTGAGACTGGTATGTCCTTGTTGCATACGGCTGGTCTCCCTTTGACGTACTGGTCCTATGCTTTTCATACTGCCGTTTATCTCATCAACCGTTTACCCACTCCCATTCTTTCCAACAAGTCTCCTCATGAAGTTCTTTTCAATCGTTCCCCAGATTTTAGCAAATTAAAACCGTTTGGGTGTTTGTGCTATCCTTGGTTACGTCCATACCATAATACCAAACTTTCCCCTCGTTCTACTCCGTGTTTGTTTCTTGGTTATAGTAACTCCCAATCTGCGTACAAATGCTATGATTATGCAGTTGGAAAAGTTTATCTATCCCGTCATGTAAAGTTTGAGCCGCAAATATTTCCGTTTGCTACTCTACCCTCATGTACACAGCCCACCCCTTCTTCCTCCATTCCCCTTCCAGTTCTTCCTCCCTCTCGTCCCTCCCCTTCCTTTTCCCCTCTCCCTCTGCCCACTTCTTCCTCCCCGGTTTCCGTCAACCAGCCCCTCCCATCCCATTCAATTCCTCACTCATCTACCACTCCTACACCTGCCTCCTCCCTTCCGTCCTCGGCTCCTCCTCTCTCCCAGTTACCATCGAGTCTTCCTTCTTCTCGGCCAGTTCGTGAGCGACGGCTTAATGCTCGTTACTTCAACGATCATCTTGTTAATCATACTTCTATTGTTGTGGAGGCTCCACTAACTTATATGCAGGCACGGAAGGACCCTAACTGGCGGGCAGCTATGGACGCAGAGTACTCGGCCTTGTTGCGAAATCACACCTGGGATCTTGTACCACGCTTGTGTAGGCGGCCTATTCAGTGTAAATGGGTGTTTCGTGTGAAACGAAAACCGGATGGTAGTATTGACCGCTACAAGGCCCGGTTGGTGGCTAAAGGTTTTCTTCAACAAGCCGGCCGTGACTATTCGGAGACGTTTAGTCCTGTTACTAAGCCCGTGACAATTCGCCTCATTATTACTCTTGCCTTGAAATTTGGATGGCCTCTTCGACAACTTGACGTCAACAATGCCTTTTTGAATGGTACGCTCCATGAAGAGGTGTATATGGACCAACCTTCAGGCTATAAAGATGCAGCGCATCCTGATTATATTTGTAAACTTCGTAAGGCTCTTTACGGCTTGAAACAAGCTCCGCGTGCTTGGTACTTGGAGTTGGCTGATTTTTTGCTGGGGTTTGGGTTTCGAAAGTCTCGTGCCGATGCTTCACTTTTCATCTATGCCAAGGGATCTATTCGTCTCTACTTTCTAGTCTACGTCGATGACATTGTGGTTACTGGCAATTCTGTGGCCTCTCTTGATGCCTTTGTTCACAAGCTGTCTCATCGGTTTTCGCTTAAGGATTTGGGTCAGTTGCATCACTTCTTGGGGGTTGAGGTCATTCCGGTTCCCGGGGGTGTTTTTCTCTCTCAATGTCAGTACGTCCATAATGTCCTCTCTGATCATCAAATGGCTGATGCCAATCCTGTCCGTACTCCCTTGTCCACAACAGCTCCTCTTCGGTCTAATGATGGTTCGGGTAAGGCAGACCCCACTGTTTTTCGACGGTTGGTGGGTTCTTTGCAATATTTAGCCCTCACTCACCCTGATGTCTGCTTTGCGGTGAATAAATTATCTCAATATATGCATGCTCCCACACTTAATCATTGGCAGGCGGCCAAACGTGTGCTTCGGTATCTCCGTGGCACTCTTTCTCATGGGCTTTTCTTACGTGCTAATACGCCGCTGCAGCTCACTGTTTTCTCGGATTCAGACTGGGGGGGCATCCATGATGGTGGTAAGTCTACTACGGCTTATGTTGTTTACCTCGGGTCTAATCCGATCTCTTGGAAATCTGCTCGTCAGAAGACTGTGTCTCGGTCTTCCACCGAGGCTGAGTATCGGGCACTTGCCCATGCTACTGCTGAGACACTTTGGTTGCAAAATCTTTTGGGTGAGCTTGGTGTGCCAATTACACGTGCCCCGGTTCTCTTTTGTGATAATCTTGGAGCGACGTATGTTTGTCGCAACCCTGTTTTTCACTCCCGTATGAAGCACCTCGCCTTGGATTATTTCTTTGTTCGTGATCTTGTCGCTGCAAATCGTCTCCATGTTCGCCATATATCTTCCTCTGAGCAACCCGCGGACCTTCTTACCAAGCCACTTGGCACTCTCCTGTTCACAAAGTTTTGGTCCAAGATTGGCGTCTCCGATGGATCATCCATCTTGCGGGGGTGTATTACGGATAAGTAGATATGGATGGGGTATTTTGAATATTTGAATAGTTGTTACCTTATCCCATGTGTACAGCTCTTGACTCCTTCCCAGATGTGCTTGGCTCTCCTTGTTTATAGCCTCTTTTAGTTAGTCTTCTGTATGTATAAATCTTGGTCATGTACGTAGCATCAATGTGTGAATAATATCATCAATATTTCATTCTCTACATTGTAAACCGTCATGCCTAGAATGTATGCCAAAAAACTGCTTCTGAAATCCCTATATAAGAACATCAGCCTTGTACTCTGTTATAAATATGTTATCAGAAAAAATATTATATCATTATTTTGATGAAATACAAGACAATAAATATATTTGGTGTTCCTGCGAATATTTTTCCGGTGTTTGAATTTGATTATATCCTTCCGGTAAGATTCCGTGCCAAATGTTTTCGAGCCCCGTAATTGGCAGCTCCACCGTCCGTGCCAAATGTTCGTGCCAAGACCGAAAGTCACGGAAATTTAATACTACAGACCGTGCCAACGGCCATGCCAATGCCGCGTTTTTTTTTGTAGTGTGGGGTGCGAGAATACGAAAAAACAAAAGCAGATCTGATCAAAAGAAAAGGAAGAAGGTACCGATTTTGACAGTGCAAATTTTCTGGACAGCATGCATGAATTTGATCATAGCCAAAAATCCGACTGTTGGATTTTGCTGAAATTTTTAGAGAGTATTCCCAACACATAGGGCTTCAATTTGTTCAATTTTCACGTCAATCAGAGTTACAAATCTTCTATTATCGAAGTTACGATCCACATATTGTCGCTGGTTTTTTTTGTAGAAAACGCAGCTCTGGTTTTCTCGATAGTTAGAGTACCAAATCTCGTCCGATCGTTCTGAAATTTTAAGAGAAGTCTAATGACTTATGGGGCTTCAATCTGAACGTTGGAGATTGAATTCCAACGATTCAATCTCAATTTATGAGGTTCGGATCATCCTGCATATTTTTTTGTGAGAAAGACGAATCTTTGTTTGAAAGTGTACTGAAATCTACGTCCTTGAAGAAGATATTGGAGAATGTGTAACAAGCCGTCGAGATAGACGCAGACAGAGTTTGTCGTCAGGTCATTCTCCTGAATTATCTTCTCTACAGCATAGCTGTTTGATCTATTTGCGTAGCTTTCAATAGGTGATTTTCGCTGCACCTCCACGACTTTACATTGTGATAGATCCAGTAATTCGAATAGTTGGAGGTGCACTATCGAAATCTGGAAATAACGCCATCAAATTTTTTATTAGATAATATGAAGTAACAGAAAAGTAATCAACTTTGTTTTCAACGTTTATTGAATGCAAAAAAAATTTGAATAAATAATGTAAAATTTATTTTATGAATAATAAATTATATGAAATAAATACACTTTATTAAAAAATTGAACATAAAAATTAGCCTAATTAGATAGGGTCCCTTTAATTTTAGTGGGAGGCTATATACATAAATTACCTTACTATAAAAATTTAGTTAGGGTTAATATAATTTAATAATAGTGGAATACATTGTAACATTTATACGGGACATGTTTGATAATAGCGTTAAAGATTGACGTTAGCATTTTGAAAAGCAATCTACAAGCATCGTTTAGCGCTAGCATTTTCAAATTAATCTGCACCGTTAAAATTTTATCCAAAATGCTAATGCTATTCATAAATAGATCCAGAAGAAACAGAATAAGAAAAGTGAGGGGGCGTGTTAGAATATAAATAACTCTTTCTGGGCCAAAACCACAAGCGTGAGCTTTTGGTTGAAGTTGGTTCCTTGACATAAACATGTTTAAAATTCATCTATACCGTTAAAATTTTATCCAAAATGTTAGTGGAGTATAGAGAAGTTAGAGTGGTTTAATAATGACAACCAATCTACTCTTAAAAGTCTCTATACAGGGAAGATTTTGAACTCAAGTCACCATACCAACCAAAAGACGTACTTAATTTCACTAATTTATGAGTGAGATTTTGACTTCTTTTTCGTATGTTATCAATAGTACGGGCGCTTTCAAAAAATCTCAGTCCTAGTTAGGGTATAATTAAAATTGTAGAGACACGCCATATAGTAGGTCCGAGACTGGCTCCAAATTTTTTACATGACCTGAGTTAACTGTTAACTGTCTGACCGGTGTTGAGGGGTCTTCGGGAATGAGGTTCATTCTTTTTGGAAAGTAAGAATATATATATATATATGGGCCGGTTCCCGTGAGAATGCATCTTGTGGAGAGAAATGAGAATAAAATCTAGCCGTCGGATCTGATGCATGCTGCGGCTCAGATTGCATCATGCGCTCAAATTTTGAGATAGTGCATTTTCGAAGGTTTATGGTGCATTTTGACGTGATGCATTTTCGTACCATTTTGGTGCATCTAATTTTGATAAAATCTTGACCCTTAGATCTCACAATCTAAAGCATCAGATTCATTCTCATTTCTCTCCTAAGATTGCATTCTCACCAGAACCAAAATCTATATATATATATATATATATATATATATATATATATATATATATATATATATATATATATATATATATATATAACGCTTATTCTTCAAAGTTTTTGTCTCCTCTGAGCTAAGGGTCTTGTCAGTGTTGGGAAGTCCTCGGAAAAGAAATTCACCCTCTTTGGAAAGTTAGAGTGTATTTTAGGGATCAATGGATACTTCACCATCACGAGTTAAACTAATCTTTTACTAGGTTAATTCCGTCTATGATGCTGCAACTGATTGAAAGCCACAAAGGGCTCCCTCACAACGCATCACCATCTCGATCTCTAACAACAAAAGATTGAGGCGATGCAATGGAAACGCAGTGCTGTGAGAACAAGGGCCAAGTAAAAAAAATTTCATTGGAGATAATGAAAAATGCAAAGGGTACAATTTGATGGGTGAATAAAGAATATATGGAAAGGATTGTTGGTGTACAAATAAGTTATACCAATTGGTATACTCTTAGCATGAGTAATGACTCATTTACGTGTAATTGAGTGCACATTTTTGAACAATTAAATAAGCATTCTACTATTCAAAAATAAATATTCATGCAATCATGGAGATGTATAGAAAATATCGTACATTTAGATGAAGGATCTGTTTGAAAATAACGTTAGAGATTACCGTTAGCATTTTGGATAAAATTTTAACGTTGTAGGTTACTTTAAAAATTCTAACGTTAAATGCTACCCGTAGATAACCTTTGCAAAATATGCTAATCTCTAGTACTATTCCCAAACAGGTTCGTAGAGTATATGTATTCCGGTAGGACCAGTAACAAAGAAGTTTTGGAATCCCTAATCAAAATACAAATCGCTCTCAAAATCTCAATGACCGATTTGTTGGAACAATAATAAAGCAAACCTAATTATTACTCTCTCAAATCTACCCTACCAATTAGATTCCTTAATAATGTACGAACCATTTTCTTACAAATTATGCACCCGAGAAATCGATCGTTCATTTTCCTAAATGGTACGGGGTATATGCAAATAAAAAAAAGATAAAGTAACCCATTATCAAAACAATCTTTCAAACATATACGGACTATGTAATGATGTTATGCATTCTCTCGAATTTTAGTAAAAGACAAATTAAAGATAGTTTTTTTTAAATAAAAGATAAATCATTTCTCAATAGAATACTTAAATGTTTTTATTTCTTGTATAGTACTTAAATAATGTCTAATAACGAGAACAATGTTCAGTAATGGTATACATTTAGTTTAAACAATGTTCAGTAGCGATGGATATTTAATTGAATTATACCCCGTGAACAATGACTAGTGAACGATTTCAATACCAACACTCCAATTTAATAGATTAAACAAATAAAGATATAAGAGAAGTTTACTTAAATAACACTAAAACATAATGGGTTCCCCTAAATAGCATCACATGTGTTTTTCTTCCCAATGTAGCACTTTTAGTCATTATACATTAGTCATTATTCAAGTAAATATTCACCATCACTCGACATTATAGATATTATTAAGTGCTATTTAAGAAATAAAACAATTTAAATGCTATTTAGGGAAATGACTTAAGTGCTATTTAGTGCAAATATTTAAAGATATAAATTTATGTTTTAGTCAGTAATTTGTTATAAATTGATAGAGCATGCAAAACTGCAGAAGAAAAAAAATCAAAACCCTGATTGTCATTTTTAAAATCATTGATGGCGGATCCGAACTAGAGTAATAAAAATATACTCGTAATTAAAGAGGAATTGCATAAAGCGAAGTTATTTTTTTTAAAAGATTTACTGCAGTAAATTATTAGAGGAGTGCACATAGAAAGGCACGGCGGCGGCGGGATTACTCGCCGGGGGGAGTTGATCGGCCGCTAAACTACGCTTACCCGCGGCGGCGGAGGCGGGCCTCTTCCGCTTCTTCTCGTAGCTGACCCCTCGAGACTTGGACTGGAAATCGCGGACGTCGCGGAGGAAGAGGCGGACGGCTCGGGCGCCGAAGGGGTTGGACTCGGGCTTGCCGCCGTGCTCCTCGTAGGCGGCGCGTAGGCGTCCGATGAGCGCGTCGAGGCTGCCCCAGGCCTGTCTGAGCGGGCAGGGACACGGAGCCGGAGGATTCGGCATCCCGAAGAAGGGGCAGTTGTGGTTGTGGACCTTAGTCTTCCCGAACTGGTCCAAGTACCGGAGGAACTCCAGCACGTGGGCCCCGCTGCACATGGGCAGAGACAGCGGCGGCCGGTGGTTGCGGAGGTACTGGCAGAACGTGTTCCAGTCGCGGCGCTTCTGGTTCTCGTACCGGCTCAGAACCGGCGCCTCCTCCTGGCCGCCGCCCGTCTGGTGGTGGAGCGCGACTGCGGCGGGCGAAGATGAGTTCGGAGTGCCGCCGCCGGCGGCAGATTCGGAGTCATCAATATCGTGAATTTGGTGAAGGGGGGCTATGAAATCCATCATAGACAACAGCCAGCTATACTACTAGTGTTTTTTTTCTTCCTGTTTGGCCTTTTTTGTCAAACAAAAAGGAAGACTTATATGGAATGGTATTTTTGGCTTAATTTATTTTTTTTTTCTTTGAGGGGGGGGTCTTGTTAGAGTAACTAATAACCTTTAACCTTAACAAGATGGACCATGCTACATTAACACCAAAAATTGTACCCCATTTGTACACCGCAGTTATACACAAATATTTTGATGGTTTACACTGACACAAATGTTGGTGTGTTAACAAAAATTTACACGGACACAAAATGTTGGTGCGTTAACAAAAATTAGTTTTACACCAATACAAAATGTTGGTGTAAACTTGCGGTGTACAAAGTGGGCTACAAAAGGTTGGGTACAAGTAGCTTTATCCTAACAAGATAGTTGGAATGTAAGGGTAAATAATAATGAAGCAGAGAGGGGTAGTGGCTGGGTATAGGTTGTACCTACCTTTTTACTGCAAATTTTGCAGAAGAAGGAAGACTTTTCATTTTATTTTATTTTTTTAAAAAAATAAGAATCTTGAAAAAGGAGACTAGGGATGATGACTGAGTTTGTGCAGAGAAGCTGGGCGGGCCTGTTTTTAAAAACACAGAATCTTTGAAATCTGATGAGAGAAAGAAAGGGCCGGGCCGGGCCGGGCCGGGATTGGACAGGAATTAATTGAAGATGATAAGGGAGCTAGTTACTTAGGCTACAATATGGAATTGGGAAGTGATGGATGCCTTTGACCCCTTTATTTGCTTTTTTTTTCTCTTCCTAGTCCCAAGAGAATGTACATCGTAGACTCGGCTATATGTAAAGTTAGGGATGTCTTGCTCTTACGAGTACTTTTTTTTAGAAACAACAAAAAAATGTTTATTTTTGAATCAAGAGGATGTTAATTTTGAACGTAGAGTTCATTTTGAAGCATGCTCAGCATAGTGTTCATTCTGAAACCGCGTGATGTTCATTTTAAAACATGTTTTAAATCACCTAGTGAGAGATATATTCAGCTATATACCATATAATTTGAAGTCGTCTCATACTCCCAGACTAGGGGTAAATGACTAAAATTATTTCCTAGTAACTCTTGTTTATATTTGAACTAAAATTAGATACTCGACCCAATAAAAAGTCATCTTTTCAGTTTGTTATACTTAGTTTTTCAATAACTTATGTTTGTTCCCTCAAAATAACTTATGTTTGTATGCATGTTTTTATTTATTATCATTTGATAAAGTAAAAAAATTATTATCGTCTCTTATTTTGTAAAAGTCTTAATACGGAGTATAATTTTTTATGGTGAAATTTGTATTTTTTATTTTATATCAATTTATACGTAAAATCATTTTTAAATAATCAAGTTTTTGCCCTTCTTCCAAACAATAATGATAAATTGAGACAAATTTAGTATGATGTAATAAAATTTACTTGTATATATTCAAAGATTACATTTAAAAAACAGATGTAACATGATCGTATGTTTGTTAAGTTTGATTTTCAAATTAGATAAATTTTAATCATCATCAATTAAATAAGAAGTGTAGTTCATTATTTATTAGTACAAAAATGATTTAATTATATTTTTATATTACGGAGTAACATATTTTCAAAAAATATTTAATTTTATTGATACGAAATATAAAAACTATTAGCGGGTATTTGTGTATATGTCATAGACTAGTGTATTGGAACCTATTCTTTGCCATATACGGTTGTACTATGACAACCATTCAGCTTTGTCTATTGCAGCTAATCTAGTGTTTCATAAATGTGTGAAATATATTAATGTTGATTGTCATACAGTTTGTTAATTTGTTCAGTAACACAAGATCTCCACGCAGTATGTTCCTATTTGTTATCAATTAGCGGATATTTTTGTTAAACCGTTATCAAAAGCCATTTTCGAATTTTTATTGTGCAAGATGACCATTCAAGATTTTCATGTGCCAACTTTACGGGGATTGGAGTGTTAGCGGGTATTTGTGTATATGTCATAGAGTAGCGTATTGGGCCCAAGTTGTTTAATCTGTTTATGTATTTGTATATATATCGGTTTGTAATTAATGAAAGTGCAGAATAATTCCTGCTAAAATTCTATACAAACTATTCAATTAATGACTAAAATTAGTCTAATTTGACTGCAAATTGTCAAACTAGAAAAAGATAATAAAACAAACAAAATGTTATTTTATTAAATGAGTAATAGACAAGTAAAGATAATAAAATACATTTAATCTTGTAAATAAAAACTACAGAGTAAGATTTTTAAAGATTTTTTTTAGTTCTATTCGATTTTAGGGCTGAGCAACAGTTTGTTTCGGTCGATTTCGGTTTGAAACCGAAAAAATTGATTTTTTTAACATGTTTGAAAATCGACCAAACTGAATCGATCATAAACTAAAACCGACCGATCAGAAATCGAAAACCGCCCGCACAACAAAAAAACCAACCGAAAAACCAAATTTTAATTACTTTTATTTTGACTTTTAAATATAAATTTAAGAAGCTAATTCGGAAAGGTAGATTCATATGTATTAAATTAGTTTAGATTAAGACTTTTCTATTGTCATTAATTTAGTTAGGTAGATTAATTTTTATTTGAATATACGCTATCCATTTCATATAAAATTTGCACTTTTCTTATTAATATGTTCAAAACATTAACAAATATTTTTTTAAAAGTAAAACATTAAAGTTTTTCATGAAAGAGTAAGAAGAAAGCATGTGTGTTAATCAAATATTTTCTTATTCTAAAAAATAAAAATTAAATTAGATTAAAATCATCGGTTATTCGGTTGGTTCGGATTTTTCTTACAAAAAACCAAAACCAACCAAAAAACCGAAAAAACCAAAAATGTTTTTTACATGAAAACCGAAACCGAAACCGAACTTTGGGTTATTTCGGTTTTCGCGGTCGGTCCGGTTAATTTTCTCACCCCTATTCGATTTATAAAAGGAACTATTAATCGGTAATCTTATATTTAAAATAAAAAAATTGAAAACATATTTTGAGTACTTATTCTCAAGAGAAAATGTTTAAAAAATTAAAAATTTATATGGACTTTCATATAACATAAACAAGCATTTGTTTAAGAATAATATTTTTTAAAAAATGTTTTAAAAAAAACTTTATACTCAATAAAAAGTTATCAACCATGCTAGGCGTACACGAAGAAGTATACCACAAATAGATGCATCAACATTTTAACGATTTACACTGACACAAAATATTAGTTCAATCAAAAAAATTACACTAATATTTTCTATCATTGTAAAGCATCACACTTACACAAAATGTTAGTGATCGAATATTTTTGGAGTACAATTTTTGGTATACAAATATCATTTCTCAAAAATTATAGTACAAATTATTAAAAAGATTAATAGAGGGAGTAAACATTTAGAAAGAGAGAATTTTCCTCGAGACACAAAGACAAAGGGGAAAGAGAGCAAGTCGCGGGGGCATTAATGTGAGGTGATTGGTGGTAGAAAACTATCAACAGATTGATGTACGTACTACCCATTTTTGGATTACTACTTTAATTACCTTTAAAAATACTCAGTAGAAATGATGGATTGGTAATTGGTTGCAGTCTTGGTGATGGAATAATAAGACTAGATATTATTACGGAGTAATTTCCCTAACTAGCATCGGTTCGTTCTTAAAAAACAACTCACTCCCTCGTGGAGTTGTTTATTGGTATTTAATTTACAATAGATTTTGTTTATTTTTAATTTTTTTTACTATATATTGTTGCTTCTTATTTTATAGAGATTTTCACGTATTTTTTAAATATCTAAACCATATTTTTTATATCAATTTTCAAATAAAATATTTTAAAAAATATACCATCTTTAATCTTGAGTATTTGTTTAATTTTGATTTTTTGCAATTATTGATTTTTAATCTTTTACCTATAATCATATAAAATATATATTGTATACTAGTTAGATAAAATAATATTTTGAAAATATTATATAAAATGAATTTAATAAAATTATTTTTGTATTAGTATCTAATATTACTTTCATTTACTTTATAGTCAAAATTTATTAATTTTAACCGAAAAACTAGAAAATGGAGAAATATTCATTAACATAGAGACTAAAATATTCTTTATTTTGTGAAAAGGAGCATCTAAAAAAGGCGTAGAATTAGAATTTCCCAATTGCAAATAATATAGACTTGTCAATGGGAGAGGTTTGGATTGAGGCTTAATTTGGGGAAAAATTTGACCCTCTCAATGCAATATTTCCGGCCGCTCTCCCTGCCATTGTTTTTTCAAAGGATATTCATAATAAGTTAAGTCTCGCATTTTCAATGGGAAATATTTTTTTTGAGGAAAAATTTTTCCCATAAAAAGAAGAGCTGAGTATCATTATATGTGATGAAATAAGGATTCCTTCCCTTTGTGTGCATCATTATAAAAACTAGCCCATAAAATCTAGATAAAATTCCTAAGTAAAAAGACTCTAACCGACACCAAGACTTTTACATAGCACTGCAGCATGATGACGGACAATATATTAATTAAAGTTCTACTTAACACAAAACGACTAACATCAGAACAATATATTAATTAAAGCATATTTGTTTATCAAAAAATAAAACCAACAAGAGTTATACAGATTTCGTGGATCTATTTATTACTCCGTAATTATTATTTGCTCCCAATTGCTGCGTTCCGTTTGCCTGATCTGATCTGATTTTTTTGAAGATTTGATCTGATAGTAGTTATAAATTAAAGTTATTTCTGATCTAGTCTGATCTGATTATAATGTACTTGTATCTTTACATTTGATTGTTCTTCATTCCCAGCACATGAGAGTAATTAAGACGAACGTTCCATAATTAACCAATTTTAGAAGTGTTTGAGTAAACTTTTTCATAATTAGGGAGTATCATGGGAAGAAGACAAAGGCGGCTGCGTGGGACATGCACGCAATGCGTCAATAATAGGGAGTAATCGATAATAATAATAATAATAATAAGGCCGGTGTATTAATAATGGGTGCAACAAGGCCAGGTTGTGATAATAAAGGGAAAAGACAGCAAATGATAGCGCAAGCCCAAGGGAGACAAATAAGAAACAAAAAATCTTAACTATAGGCCCATTTTGAATGGCATTAATGCAAGAGTTGTACC